CTATTCCATTTTGTGGATGTACCACATTTTGTTTTTTTCACCAGTTGATGAACATCTGAACTATTTTTGCTTTTTGGCTAGTAAGAATCATGTTAGAGTGAACATTCCTATCCAGTTTTTGTGTAGACTTCACATTGTCTCTGGGTATATACCTAGGAGGCGAGTTATAAGGTCACATGGTGGCTCATAATTTGAGAAAGTGCCATACTTCTTTCCAGAGTGCCTGCATGATTGCATAATCCCACTAGTAACTGTGACATAACAGTGTACAAGGGATCAAGTTTCTCCACATCCTCACTAGTACTTGGCTGTCATTTTTGATTATATATTTCGATAATATTTCACTATTACTTGGTTTTCATTTTTTTATAATTAATGATGTTGAGCATCTTTTCTTGTGCTTATTGGCCATTTATATATATATAATTTGGAGATTATTTCTATTTGAATCCTTTGCACATATTTTTATTTGGTTACTTGCCCGGTTGTTGTGGTAAGAGTTCTTTATTCTTGATACAAGTCTGTGATCAAGTACTCAATTTGTATATGTAGTCTCCCAGTCTGAGTTGTCTTTTCACTTTGTTCATGTCATTTGAAGCACAAAAAGTTTTAATTAAATCGAGTTTGTCCATTTTTTTCTTTTATCACAAACACTTTAATGTAGTTATCTAAGAAATCATTGGCCGGCTAATCCTCTGCCTGCGGCGCCGGCACCCCGGGTTCTAGTCCCAGTTGGGGCGTCAGATTCTGTCCTGGTTGCTCTTCTTCCAGTCCAGCTCTCTGCTGTGGCCTGGGAGGGCAGTGGAGAATGGCCCAGTTCCTTGGGCCCTGCACCCACGTGGGAGACCAGGAGGAAGCACCTGGCTCCTGGCTTCGGATCGGCGCAGCGCGTAAGCCGTAGCGGCCATTTGGGGTGTGAACCAACAGAAAAGGAAGTCCTTTCTCTCTTTCTCTCTCTCACTGTCTAACACTGCCTATCAAAAAATTACAGAAAATAAATAAAAAATCATTGCCTAACACAAGATCACAAAGATTAGTTATTGTCAGTTCCTCCTGTGTTCTAAGTTGTAACTGTGAGCTCTTGAATTTGGGCCCTTTTTTCTGTTTCACAGTACGGTAGTAAATGCTTGCTGATCAGATAGGTGCCTTTCCAGGCAGCCATCTCAGTCTGCAAAGCTTTGTGGTTGTTGGTGACTGGAAATATAGGAATTGTTACGCTGGGTCTCCCACTTAAGGATTCTCTCTCTGATACAAATGGGGTGGGGGTAGGGGGCTGGTTAGGAAGCTGCAGAAATACTCCAAGTGTAATATGTTGGTGATAGCTGTGGATGCAGAAGGAATCTGGATATGTTGTATCATAGAACTGACAGGATTTGCTAATGGATTGGTACAGAATGTTGGAGAATGGAATCCAGCAAGTTTTGGGGCATGAAAAACTGGAAGAATCAGTTAACATTAGCCAAGACATAGAAGGAATAGTAGGAGTCTATCTGGGGAGGAGATGGGAAGAGATACTGGATCTCAATCCTAATGATGTATAGTGCATAGGATCTTGCAGGAACCTTTGGTGGAGTATAATTTAAATCATCTAATACTATAACTTATGTAAAGTTTCAGAATGCTTTTTACTGTAAAGTTTCTTAAAATAATTCATTAATACTAAATGTGACATTTGTTCAGTTATAGATGTTAAGTATGTGATTATGTAAGTCCTAGAACATTTTTAATTATAATCAGGATTATTTATATCAAGTGCCCTCTTTGGGCAGGTGGATCTGGCTTTAAGATCCATGATTTTATATAGAAGTGAAACTGTTTCCATAGCACAGAATTGACAGAGAGAAAAAGATCAAAGGCACACAATGGAAACAAAATATATTCCTATACATATTTGAATATATTTTTTATAAAGCACAAAGGCCATGCAGTTTAGAAACCAATCTTTATTACAGTTTTAACCAGAACAATGGATATCCATATACCCCCCCAAAAAGACCCACAAAAAGTGAACTTCAATCTTTACCTCTTACTGCATATAAAAATTAACTCAAAATAGATCAAGCACCAATGAAAACTTAATACTAGAACTCCTAGGAAAAAATGTTGAAGAAATTTTTTTCTACAATGGATTAAACAAAGATTTCTTAGATATGTCATCAACAGAATAGTCCTTGAAAAAAATAATTGGAGCTGGCGCCGCGGCTCACATGGCTAATCCTCTACCTGTGGCACCGGGTTCTAGTACCGGTTTGGGCGCCGGTTCTGTCCCAGTTGCTCCTCTTCCAGTCCAGCTCTCTGCTGTGGCCCGGGAAGGCAGTGGAGGATGGCCCAACTGCTTGGGCCCTGCACCCGCGTGGGAGACCAGGAGGAAGTACCTGGCTCCTGGCTTCTGATGGGCGCAGCGTGCTGGCCATAGCAGCCATAGGGGGTGAACCAATGGAAAAGGAAGACCTTTCTCTCTGTCTCTCTCTCACTGTCTAACTCTGCCTGTCAAAAAACAAAAGAACAAAAAAAGAAAAATAAGTGGGATAAATTCAAATTACTGGGGCCAGCATTGTGGCTCAATGGATTAACGTTTCATTGCCAGCATTCCCATTGGAGCGCCAGTTTGAGTCCTAACTCCTCCACTTCTGATCCAGCATTTTACTAATGTGCCTGTGAAAGCAACAATTGGTGGCCCACAGGCTTGAGTTCTTACCACCTATGTGGGAGATCCTGAGGGCTTTCCAGGGTCCTGACTTCAACCTGGCCCTGCCGTGGCTATTGAAACATTAGGGGAATAAACCAGCAGATGAAAAGTCTGTCTCTCTCTGTCTTCCCCCTTTCTCTCTCTGCCACTCAAACTTTCAAATAAATAAATCAATAATTTGGCTCTTCCAAGTATTAGCAAGGATATGGAAGAACTAGACCTCTCATATATTGCCAGGGGGAGTGAATATGGTACACATAGTTTAGAAAACAGTCTGGGGCTAGCGCTGTGGCCCAGTGGGTTAACACCCTGGCCTGAAGCGCTGGCATCCCATATGGGCGCTGGTTCGAGACCCGGCTGCTCTACTTCCGATCCAGCTCTCTGCTATGGCCTGGGAAAGCAGTAAAAGATGGCCCAAGTCCTTGGGCCCCTGCACCCATGTGGGAGACCCAGAAGAGGCTCCTGGCTCCTGGCTTCGGATTGGCGCAGCTCTGGCCGTTACGGCCAGTTGGGGAGTGAACCATCAGATGGAAAACCACTCTCTCTCTCTCTCTCTCTGCCTCTCCTCTCTGTGTAACTCTGACTTTCAAATAAATAAAAATAAATCTTTAAAAAAAAAGAAAACAGTCTGGAGGGGTCAGAGCTATGGCATAACAAGTAAAGCTGTTGCCTGCAGTGCCGGCATCCCATATGGGCACCGGTTGGAGACCCACCTGCTCCACTTCTGATCCAGCCCTCTGTTGTGGCCTGGGAAAGAGTAGAAGGTAGCCTATGTTCTTGGGCTCCTGCACCTGTGTGGGAGACCCAGAAGAAGCTCCTGGCTCTTGGCTTTGGATCAGCCCAGCTGCAGCTGTTGTAGCTGTCTGGGGAGTGAACCAGCGGATGGAAGACTCTGTTTCTCTCTCTTTCTCTCTCTGCCTCTCTCTCTGTAACTCTGCCTCTCAAATTAATAAATTATATATATATATATATATATAAACCACAGTCTGGGGGCCAGCGTGGTAGTGTAGTGGGCAAAGCCAACACTGTGGCACTACATCCCATATGGGCGCCAGTTCGAGTCCTGGATGCTCCACTTCCAATCTAGCTCCCTGCTGGTCTGTCTCGGAAAGCTGTGATATATGGTCCAAGTGCCTGGTCCCTGCACCCTCATGGGAGACCTAGAAGAAGCTCCTGGCTCCTGGCTTCAGATTGGCCCAACAAGTATATAGTTTTCATAAGGTGACTGAAGAACAACACTAAAGATTCAGAATTTTTGCTCAGAAAGTACTAGTTTTATTTCCTTATAGTGGAGTACATCATTGGTTTCAGTCTCAGTGTGTTTATTAGAAACGGGAATCCCATTTTTGAAGGTATGTCTGTGTATGAACAGTGATCTCACCTCTATGAGCTATGATGCTTTTATGTAATTTGGCTTAAAAGTGGGCCGTTTGTGGAGGAGTCAGGAACGTTCATCATCAGTCTCAGTGTCAGGCACAAGGGGGCTAGCTTTGTGTTCTAAGAGCAAGAGCCTGGCAAGTGCACAGGAAGTGTCCTTGGAAAATTCAGATAGGCACAAGGAGACTTCAAAATGTTCATGGGAAAAGGAAATTAAAGGGTAAGTTTATTTCGGTGCCAAAGAATTTTGAAATCCCTGCATAGTTTTTTTCATATTATAGGCGTTTTCATGACCTTTGTGAAGACACCTGAGGGTAAATGCGTTTAGGGAAAGGAACCCCGGAGAACCAAAAGGAGCATGTGTGAATCTTCTGGGTTGTGTAGGGGACACAAGAGAGCTGGTACACAGTATGTGGAGGCTGAAGGGAAGTGTTGAGGTGGTCAGGTCCCAGAGAGCCTTCCTGCCATGGGGAAGTGCGGGCTGTGTCCTGCAGGGGGAGCAGCAGGGAGAGTTGGACCTGTGTCAGGAAGGAAACTCAGGCAGCAGTACAGGGCACTCAGCAGAGCTGGCTAAGGGACTTCTGCATGGTCGTGACTGTGGAGTTGAGAGAGGCAGAGGCAGACTTGATAGAGCCTGCTCCAGCTTAGAGGGAAGGGAGAGTCCTGCCTGGTGTTTGGGAGTTGGAGGAGGGAGGGGTTCATTATCTGAGATGGGAGTTCTGAAGGAAGAGCAGGTTTGGGGCCAGGAGAACAGGGTTGGACTTTTCATTATTTTCTTAAGGATGTACTTGATGAATAGAAACTTTTAATTTTAGTAATGTCCAAATTATCAGTTTTTTATTTTAAAAGGGAGGCCTTAGCCATGTACAATGTGAATTTTGTTTTTAAAAATATTGTATTTCCTTTATTTAAGATGTTTTCCTCCCTTCTCTAGATATCATTGACCCTGCCATTCTACGTCCAGGCCGGCTGGACAAAACACTCTTTGTGGGTTTACCACCCCCAGCAGATCGCCTTGCCATCTTAAAAACTATCACAAAAGTGAGTAAAGGATGTGGTTTGTTTTTGCAAATGCTGCTATCCTTTTGAATAGACAGTTAAACTGATAGTAAGTTAAGACCAATTGCTTTCTTTTCTGTAGCTTTAAGTATTCATCCAGCCTATGATTCCCAAAAAGGAAGATGAATTGTTTGGTATTTTTAAAATTTTTATTTATTTTTTACCTGCTGGTTCATTCTCCAAATATCCACAACAGCCAGGACTAAGCCAAGCCAAAGCCAGGAGTCCATAATTCCATCCAGGTTTCCCATGGGAGTGGCAGGAACCCAAGTACTTGGGCCATCATCCCCTGCCTTCCAGGCACTCCAGTATGGGATGCTAGTGCCTCAGGCAGCAAACAGCTTAAGCAGCCACACCATAATGCTGGCCCCTAATCTTGAAAGAAAATGTTGTTTTTCTTATTACCAAAATAAATAATAGAAAGTAACAAACTTCCCAAAGGTCTATTTAGTTGCAGATTTCAACTTTAAAACTTAGATCTCTAATTGTTGGTCCACCATTATTTCTACTTTTAGATCCTTTTTATTGAAATACAGTACACATACAGAAAGTGGACTTACTGTGAAATGCCTGGCTTACATGCCTGGACTTACCATGAAGCAAATGGCTGCAAGCAAAGCCGCCAGCTCAGGAAAGATGGCAACCCTAGTCACTCGTGGAGCAAGAGTGGTAGTATCTAGGGGCCTCTGGGAGCAAGGAAATGGGGAGTTTGGGTTTCATGTGTGCGGATTGTGAATGGGGAAAGTAGACATGACAGTGGTCATGGTTGTGCAGCAGTGTTGATGGCGATGCCTCTGAACTGTGTGTACTTTAAATGATGAATTTTGGGGCCGGTGCTGTGGCTCACTTGGCTAATCCTCCGCCTGTGGCGCCGGCATCCCATATGGAGGCCAGGTTCTAGTCCCGGTTGCTCCTCTTCCAGTCCAGCTCTCTGCTGTGGCCCAGAAGGGCAGTGGAGGATGGCCCAAGTGCTTGGGCACCTGCACCCACATGGGAGACTAGGAGAAATCACCTGGCTCCTGGCTTCGAATTGGTGTAGTTCCAACCATAGCAGCCATTTAGGGGGTGAACCAACGGAAGGAAGACCTTTCTCTCTGTCTCTCTCTCTCACTGCTAACTCTATCTGTCAAAATAAAATAAATGATGAATTTTAAAACACACGGAAGCTGCCCCCTTGCTTCCTTCCAGTTACTACCTACACCTGCTTGCCTCAGGGTCAACTGCTGTCCTGACAAAGTTGAAAATCATTTACAGTGAAAGATGCTGAGTAATCATGCAGTCTGACCCTCTAGTTTCACAGCTGGCAGAAAAAGGTACAAAGATTATTTCCCTAAGGTCACAGACTTTATTTCCCAGGTCAAAGTGGATTGAATGGGAAATGTAATTTCCTTTAATCTGTGTTACATGAACATTTACATTTTAATCCAATAATACAGGCTGGCAAATGTGAAAATTTCTGCAGTACTTGAGAGTGCCTTTGCTGGGAGATGCTAATATGTGAGTGTAGACAGAGCAGCAGGTAGCTGCACAAGGTTATCAGCTCCAAACCACAGAACCCTGTTCTTGGGTCTCCATGCAGTGATAGTTATAAGATAATCTCTGTATTAAAATTTTTATTAATGTTATTTGAAAGACAGAGAATTCCCATCTGCTGGCTCACTCCCCAAACGCCCATTGGCTGGACCATAGCCAGGAACCATGGGGTGGTTTGAGCCATAGTCTTCTGCCCCCTGGGATCTGCATTACCCGGAAGCAAGAGTTACAAGCTGGAGCTCAGAATCACACTAAGATGATCTTTATGGCATATGTTTATTCACGCGTGTATGTGTTTCTTAAAATAATTCTTTCAGAGCCAGCATTGTGGTTCAGCAGGTTAAGCCTCCACCTGCAACACCAACATCCCATATGGGTGCTGGTTCAAGACCTAGGTGCTCCACTTCCAATCTAGCTCCCTGCTAGTGCACCTGGGAAAGCAGTCGAAGATAGCCCAAGCCTTTGTACCCCTACACCCATGTGGGAGACCCAGAAGAAGCTCTGGGCTCCTGGCTTGGTCTTAACCAGCCCTTCTATTTCAGCTGTTTGGGGGCTGAACCAGTGGATGGAAGATATCTCTCTCTGTGTCTGTCTCTCCTCCTCTCTCTATAACTCTGCCTTTCAAATAAATAAAAAATAAATCTTTTATAATGTAATATATACACAAAGAAAAGAATATATACAATGTATATGTAAATTATGAATCAGAATAATATAGCAGATACTCACCCCTACCATCTAACTGTCATACTTTTAAAATCATTATGAACTGGTTTTTTTTCACTCCTGTGGTTTATCCCTAGAAATATGTACTGAATGCTTACAGTGTACTGTGCTAAGTGTTGTAATTGTAATTTCTGGTATCTCTTGCTGTGAGCTGCAGGGGGTTTGGTACCAATGTCAGGGTTGAATTTTAGATAAAGGATTTAGAAAGAACATATGGAGTGTAAAGGACTTCAGATTTTGGACAGGTTACTGCTCGTGCTCAACTGGCGTCCAACTTTACATTAAAACCAAGCCCTGCAAGGGCCAGTACAATCAGTTAAGCCTCCACCTGCAGTGCCAGCATCCCATGTGATCACTAGTTCAAGTCTCTGCTGCTCCATTTCTGATCCAGCTCCTGCTAATGCACCTGGGAAAAAGTGAAAAATGATCCAAGACCCTGGGCCCCTTCCACGCACGTGGGAGACCCAGAAGAAGCTACTGGCTCCTGGCTTTGGCTTTGGCCTGGCCCAGCCCTAGTCATTGGCCATTTCAGGAGTGAGCCAGCAGATGAAAGTTCTCTCTCTTTATCTGTCTCTTTTTTGTCTCTCTGTAACTCTGCCTTTCAAATACATAAATAAATCTTCAAAAAAAGAAAAAATAAAAATTAAGCTCTGCATACACATATGCTACATTTAATCTGGAACAGGAAAAAAAACGTGTTTCTTGCCCTTTGGAACACTGAGTTGGTAGATTTTGTTCTTGGTGGTGGTGGTTTATTTTTTCTGCAGCTGCACACAAACCCTTAAAATTACACAGGCTTAAATTGTTTGCCTTTAGCTTTCCCAAGTTTGGAATCAACTTTTTTTCCTTCTTTTTTTTTTTTTTTTAATTAATTAATTTAATTTGAAAGGCAGAGTTAAAGAGAGAGAGCTCTTCCATCTGCTGGTTCACTCCACAAATGGCTGCCGGGAGCTTCTTCCAGGTCTCCCACATGGGTACATGGGCCAAAGCACTTGGGCTATCTTCTGCTGCTTTCCCAGGTGCATTAGCAGGGAGCTGGATCAAAAGTGGAGCCAGGATGTGAACTAGTTGGCAGCTTTACCCACTGTGCCACAGCACTGGCCCCTGAAATTAGCTTGTTGATCTCATTTTTTCAACAAAATCTGTGGGATTCTTACAATCCTCTTATGGGAGTAAATCACATCATTGCGTGAAGCAGCCATTATTCTTTATTAAGAAAGTGTTATATAGATGAGTATGAGTCCTAAAACCTCAGTGAAAAGTCATTTTTCTTTCTTACTTAGAATGGTACCAAACCTCCACTGGATGCAGATGTGAATTTGGAAACAGTTGCTAGTGACCTGCGTTGTGATGGCTATACGTAAGTGTTTCCCTCTAGAGCCAGCTGACTCCTGGCGCTCAGTGTCTTTATGTGTAAAATGAGAGACCAAAGCCCCCGACGGGTAGCTGGGAGGTGAAATGAGGCATCCTGCTAAGCACCTAGTGTCATGCCTGGCTTTTCCTTGCTCCTTTCTTAGAGAAGCAACTGCCCACTAGGATGCCCTGCCTCTCAGAAGGCCACCCTCCTCATCATTGCTGTCCTCCACTTAATATACGGGATATTTCATGACTGGCTCCCGATCATCCAGGTGCTTCAGCATTGAAAAGAGACTAGTCCACAGTGCTACATTTTCCAAGCCTCAGAATTCATTTTCACGACACAAAATCCAGTAATTCTGCCTTCAGCTTGCAAATGTTTGTGGTGGTCCTAGTTTGGGGGTGTTTTCTTCATATGTCTTCAAGTAAATTTGTTAACTCTCCCAGTTTGGGGACACAGGAAAGAAAATCAGATTCAAGTTTAACAGAGGCATTACCGTGTCTGGTGTATTGAAAAACCCTTTAAACTGTGCACTTGATGCTTGGTCCTCTGGGCACACCTCCAGGGCCAGACCAAATAATGCCGTGCTTTCTGAGGCTTCCAGGCGTGCAATACGGTGTTTTCACCTTTGAGGTCTTCAGAAGTCTGTTACTCGGCAATGTACATCTGTATTGAAAGAACACATACACTGTAGGAATACAGGGACTTAGTTATTTCCAGTTCTGAATTTTACATAACCATCTCTTACTAAGATGATTGCACTTGAAACTACAGTGATCATTTTTCAGGTGTGTGGTCAAAATACCAACCTTAATCTCCCAGGCTGTTTCCTGGGGGCAGTTCTGGTACCCAGCGTGCTTGAGAGCCAGGGCACGCTCTGGCGAGCAGTCGTGCTCAGGAAGGCACTGTGCTTCTCAGTGGAGGGAACAGAGTTGAAAAGGTGGTAAGGAGGGGCCGGCGCCATGGCTCCCTTGGTTAATCCTCCACCTGCAGAGCTGGCATCCCATATGGGCACAAGGTTCTAGTACCGGTTGTTCCTCTTCCAGTCCAGCTCTCTGCTGTGGCCTGGGAGGGTAGTGGAGGATGGCCCAGGTGCTTGGGTGCCTGTATCCTCATGGGAGACCAGGAGGAAGCACCTGGCTCCTGGCTTCCAGTTGTAGAGGCCATTTGGGGAGTGAACCAATGGAAGGAAGACTTTTCTCTCTGTCTCTCTCTCATTGTCTAATTCTGCCTGTCAAATTAAAAAAAAAAAAAAAAAATGAAAAGGTGGTAAGGGGCATTTGTTGAAGCCTTTTCCTCCCTTTAAGGAGTACTGCTTCTTAATACGTTAATTAGAAATCAACCCAGTCTTTATTTAAGTGCTTTTACTACTTGAGGAGTGAGGAGAAACTTAAGGAAGTATATATATTAACAGCTTTAAGTGCTCCGATTTGAAAATATTTTAAGTAATAGGTGGTTTTTATGGCAGAATTTACTGAGGACCAAATCTTTTGAATTATACCAAGTAGAGTGTAGTTTATAACAGGCGTGGGGTTAATGGATTAAAGTTCAGAGGTAAACATTTTGGATTTTAATTCCACTGCTATCACAGTATGGGAGACTTCAGTCTTTAGCTACCTGTTTCGCCGGCGCCGCAGCTCAATAGGCTAATCCTCCGCCTGCAGTGCTGGCACACCGGGTTCTAGTCCCGGTCGGGGCGCCGGATTCTGTCCCGGTTGCCCCTCTTCCAGGCCAGCTCTCTGCTATGACCCGGGAGTGCAGTGGAGGATGGCCCAAGTGCTTGGGCACCTGCACCCCATGGGAGACCAGGAGAACCTGCACCCCATGGGAGACCAGGAGAAGCACCTGGCTTCGGATCAGTGCAGTGCGCTGGCCGCGGCAGCCATTGGAGGGTGAACCAACGGCAAAGGAAGACCTTTCTCTCTGTCTCTCTCTCTCTCTCTCTCTCACTGTCCATTCTGCCTGTCAAAAAAAAAAAAAGCTACCTGTTTCATTAGATCATGGCTTCTGTACCATTATTAGATTTAACATTAAGGACTGGAATGAGTACTCAACATGTACTTGCTTATTAAATGGTGTTGTTACCATAACACTGAACCAACAAACACATTGGGTTCAGCCAGTAATTTAAGCTCTTTGAGTCTTTAATTTTGTATAGTATGTAGATCATCAGCATTATGTAAGTTTGATTTCTACAACTGAAGTTTTAGTCCCCTAATCTAAACCTTTCTCAAGAGAATCTCTATGAATCATGTTAAGGCTATAATGTGATGAAACCTTAGTTAGCCCCAGTGTCTTTCATTTAACTCAGAACTGTGCTGACTTGGCACATCACTGCCTAGACTAATAAGTGACGCCTTGTTATGTGTCCACTCAGCTTGAGCATAAGTGTATCAAAGACTTTCTAGGCTTTGAATTTTCCCCTTTTGAACTTGGAGCTATAAATGGCTTTTTATGTAAGCTAATTTTAGATACTTGTAATATATGAATATGCTAGTCAACACTTAAGCATAGCCCCTGTGAATGAAAATATTATAATAATGTCCAAGTTCCTTTCTACCAACTGGACATACACTGACTTTAGTATCTGTAGCTTCAGGATGAGATTATTTTGTTTCCATTGCATTGTTTCTTCTGTAATTCCTTTTCTTCTGAAGATTATAACTATTCCAAATGAAAGCTAAAACCTTTTTCCTACTGATCATAAACAGTTCATCCCACCTTGATTGATGGATCTCTTTCCTGATTGCTTAATATGTGATTTACAAGAAATTGCTCTCAGACATCTCCTGGGCTTTTGCTGTATCTACGGATAAATAAATAAAAGTACTTATTTTATTATAGGGGTGCAGACCTGTCTGCATTGGTACGGGAAGCTTCTCTCTGTGCCCTGAGACAGGAAATGGCAAGACAGAAGAGTGGAGATGGGAAAGGTATGATCCTCTCCAGAATGTCTCAATTTTGATTAAGTATCACTCTGCACACTTGTTTTTTAGCAACTATTTTCTGTAATAATTAAGCTGACCTTTTTGGTTTTTTTGTTTGGTTGGTTGGTTGGTTTTATTTTGTTTTTTGATGAAGCTTTAGAAACTGTTCTGAAATATCATGTAACCTCTGGTGCTGACAATTATAATAGCAGAATTGTAACTTGGTCTCTAGTAAAGTATGTGGAATCTTAACATCTTATACAAAGATCAGACAAAAAACAACTGGGCCTAGTCACTGTCCTCATCATGAGTTTGTTCTACTTACCAATTCTGGAAAACCTCATGCTTTTGCTGAGGTGCTAACTGTATAGCTGCTATAATTCAGCCTGAATTGGAGAGATTAGGAAACATATTCAGGGTACAAGCACTGTGGCATAGCAGGTAAAGCCCTCGCCTTTAAATATTTATTTATTTATTTGAATGTCAGAGTTACACAGAGAGAGAGAGAGAGAGAAGGAGGGAGAGAGGTCTTCCATCCAATGGTTCACTCCCCAGCTGGCCACAATGGCCAGAGCTGCGTTGATCCAAAGCCAGGAACCAGGAGCTTCCTCCTGGTCTCCCATGTGGGTGCAGGGGCCTAAGGACTTGGGCCATCTTCTACTGCTTTCCCAGGCCACAGCAGAGAGCTGGATTGGAAGTGGAGCAACCTCGACTAGAACCTGGCACCCATATAGGATGCTGGCACCTCAGGTGGAGGATTAACCTATTGTGCTGTGGTGCCGGACCCCATAATTTATACTTAAAATAGTAAACTTTCTATACAGATAGTTAGAATACTACATTTAACAAAAAATGGAACAAAATGTGTTGCTGAACATATTAAATACAAGTTGAATGGCATTAATGACTTTGGTTTCAGTAAGAGATTAATGCAAAGTCCCTGGAGGACAGAGAGCTAGAAATGAAAGCTATGGCAAAGGAAGGATGTCAGTGCTTGTTATATGTGTTTGTGAGACAACATCCCAGAATAACTGTTAGTAGTGACGTCAGTACATGCACAGGTCTTGTTAATATGTGTTGACAAAACATACCCTAGGAGAATGACCAGAACTTAGTTCACAGGGAGACTATGCAATTTAAAAAAAAAAAAAAAAAGATGTTACTGTTGTTTTATTTAAGACACTATAATTTTGATTATTTGTCATCCACTTCCAGAAGCAATTTAATTTAGCTTAAAAAAGACGAAGAGGTCCGGGGCCTTCATTGTGGTGCAGATGGTAAAGCCAGCATCCCATGTGGGCAATGGTTTATGCCCTGACTATTCCACTTCCCATCCAGCTCCCTGCTAATAGCATGGGAAAAAGCAGCAGAGGATGGCCCACGTGTTTGGGAACCTGCACCAATGTGGGAGACCTGGCTCCCGGCTTTAGCCTAGCCCAGCCTGGCTCTTGTGGCCAACTGGGGAGTAAAATAGTAGGTAAAGATCTCTCTCTTTCTGTATGTCTCTCTTTCTCTCTCTCTCTGTAGCTCTGCCTAATAAACAAACAAATAAATAAATATAGTTCAATTAACTGAAGCACAGAGATCTCATAACAAAGATACATGTGTTGACAAATCTAAGCTTAGCATACACTGACCTAACTATGAACAACAAAAAATTTAGTTCAAGATTCCTGGTAGCCGAAGAAAACCAGAAAAATTTTAAAAAGTAGGAAAATCAATACAAATAAAAAATTGTATCTTTTAGAATTCTATTGAAAAAAAGGAGATCAATATAGGCTTGATCACAAATGAATCTTTTCTGGTCACACGTGTCCAAACAGTAAAACCAGAGACACGCAAATGTGAAGGATAATGTAAAGTTATTGAGTTGGCCAAAAATTGTCACATAAAAACACACATGGATTTTATACCTTGAAAAGGAAGTTTAAATACATGAAAAGTTACTCTTATTTTCATATCTGT